GGAGGGCCCACCCTACAGGATGTCTGATGGTGGAGGGCCCACCCTGAAGGGTGTCTGATGGTGGAGGGCCCACCCTGAAGGGTGTCTGATGGTGGAGACCCAAGCCTGCTCCGATAGGATGTCTGATGGTGGAGGGTTCACCCTAAGGGATGTCTGATGGTGGAGGGTCCACCCTACAGGATGTCTGATGGTAGAGGGCTCACCCTAAAGGGTGTCTGATGGCGAAAACCCAGGCCCATCCCAATAGGATGTCTGATGGTGGAGGGCCCCCCCAAAGGGTGTCTGATGGTGGAGACCCGGTTCCTGTCCAGGGTGGGCATCTGGTGGAGTAGTGCAGCCTCTCTCCCCTCCAGGGGCACAGAGCTGGGTGGGGCTGCGTGTAACTCCTGCCCTGCCCTGCAGTGCGCCTTCCTGTTGTTCTGCATGGCCCCCAGGCCCTGGAACGGGGCTCTCATGCTGTATCAGCGCGTCGTGCGCCCGCTGTTCCTAAGGCACCACGGGGCCGTGGACAGAATCGTGAACAACCTCAGCGGGCGAGCCCTAGACGCAGCGGCCGGAATAACCAGGAACGGTGGGTGCTTGCAGGCGCCCGGCTGCCTCTGACCATCTCCTGGGTCTCCACCTGTCTCCACCTTGCCTCCCTTTCTGACTTTGACCGCCCACTGTCTGGCATCTTGGCCGCCCCCTCTCACTGTCCGCCTCTCTCTCTCACGCTTCCGGGAACCAGTCTTGCAGGCGCTGGCCCGTAGCCGGGCAGGCGTCACTCCAGCGGCTGTGGCCGGGCCCTCCACTCCCCTGGAAGCTGACAGTACGTAACCCGTGGGGAGGTAGGAGCTGTGTGTGTGTGTGTGTGTGTGTGCATGTGTTTGAGTGTGTGTTTGCTGTTGCACATGTGTTATTGTGCGTGCATGTTTTGTCATGTGCATGAGGGTATGTGTGTATGAGTGAGCAAGGGAGCATGGTTTCTCACGTGTGCATGTGTGTGACCACGTGTGCATGTGTGTGCGTGAGTGCATGCATGTGTGCGTGCGTGTGACCACGTGTACGTGTGTGTGCACATGTGTGAATGCATGCATGTGTGCATGTGACGTGTGCATGTATGTGTGTGAGCGTGTGTGTGTGTGACTGCACATGTGCGTGCTCTGTGTGCACCCCTCTGTGTATAGGTGACCATGAAAGCGTGCGTGTGGTCGACACCATCTCTGCTGAGGGTGGCTGCCCGGCCCCTCGACTTTCCATGCTCACATCCAGTAGCCTCAGTCCCACCTGTGAGCAGTCAGCGGCGCCCAGGCCTGCCTCACCGCCCTCCCCCTCCTGCCCCTCTCTCTGCAGTCAAGCCAAGCCAGAGCCTGCAGCCGAAGGACAAGTGAAGCAGCCCCCCGGGCCTCGCAAGGACCTCCCGGCTGGTGAGGAGGGGGCCGCGCCGGGCTCCCAGGCCTCCACATCGTCTTCAGCGCATCTCTCGACGGCAGCCCACGCCAGTCCCTCGGGTCCAGGCAAGGCCCTGGGGGTCTCCTTAAATGCCACCTCGGGCAAGTCCCAGTCCCAGTCCTCGGCCACCCCTAGCTCTGAATCCCAGGGCCAGCTGCCCTCCAGCTCTGGCCGTGGCAAGGCCCAGGGCCAGCGTCGGGCACAGGTCAGCTCCCAGCGGTCTCGGCAACGCGCCCAGCTGCCTGGTACTTCCTCCGGCCCCTCCCAGTCAGCCCTCCCGTCCTCGAGGCCCCTGCAGCCACCCAACGTCACCTCCAGCCCGGTCTCACCCGTGGTCCAGTCTCCCAGCAGCAGCAACGTCCCCACGCAGCCTCCCAGCAAGCCCCCTGGCGAGCCAGAGGACACAGCCCCCAAGACCAGCGGACAGCGCCAGAAGCAATCCTCGAAACAGCCTGCCAGCAGCACCTCAGTGCCCGAGCTGGTCCCCTGCCACTCCGGGACCTCTCTGGAGTACACTTCGGAGTCCACCACCGAGATCACCTGCAGCTGGCCACACCACAGGCCCCCGTGCCTGCAGCACTACTGGTGCCTGAAACACCTGGCCTGCTAGGAGGCTCCAATAAAGCTAACCCGGACCAGACCTGCGCTCCACGTGTCTGGGGGCGGGGCTGCGAGGGCACTGTTCCATTTAATCAGGCACGAATCCCAGCTGTGCCGACCAGCCCCATAATATAGATGAGGACACCGAGGCCCAGAGGCTAATTCACCCACTCAAGGTCCACCTGCACGGCCAGGATGGGCGCAAGCCCCGGAAATGCTCGTCCTTAACCTCAGTGCTTTCTCCCCTCCCGAGCTAGTTGTCTGGCCCATTTGCATTAGCCTGCTTCTCTTAAAACTCCCCCAGGTGGGCGCGGTGGCTCAGGCCTGTAATCCCAGCACTTTGGGAGGCCGGGGCGGGTGGATCACCCGAGGTCAGGAGTTCAAGACCAGCCTGGGCAAAATGGCGAAACCCCGTCTGTACTAAAAA